TTTTGATGAGCTCAACATCCTTTTCCTCTTTCTCCTCTTGCAAAATTTGTTCATTATGACTGCCTGCTACTAAATACGGGTTTGTCATTTTGCTTGCACATCCTTGAAATGCAATCCAGGGCCTGGAGGTAGTCGAGTGATATTTGTGTTTATTTGTGCTGGATTCGACTTTCTTTAAGAGTGTACGTGCCCACTCCAGATTCATGCTTTTCCACTCCATGAAGCGAGTGAATTCCTCCGTTATGAGTTGTAGGATGTCTTGATCGAGCGCCCTACTCTGAATCGCCAATGCTGACGGAAGTGGTGGTAGGAATGCGATTCTCTCCTCCAGTGTTTCTTCACGTGTGTCCCCATGCAACGGATGCTCCTTAGTAGACAGTGAATGGAGGAACTTGGAGCGCTTACTCACCCTGGGGGCGCGTTCTCTTCCAGAAAGTTTTCTCCGCCCTTTTTTATTCATGTTTTTATGCTCGTCTTTGTCTTTTTAGCTGGCTCAAATCGACCACTGAATTCGCAAGTCATCCAACTGTCCTTGACATCCAAATCAATAATTTTGAGTTGGCAGATCATCCAACCGCTGACCCATGTGAGAAAGTATAGGATTGTGGGGAGACAAATTTTTGCAGCAAAGCATTAAACTCATCCCCTACAAAAAAGGTTATGAATCAAGTGTTTTTTGAGAACTTCGTCGGGGTGATTACTATTATACCAACTTAAAACCTCATTATTCAACCGTTGGGGACTCTTATATTTGATAAATACAGCATTAGTCCTACATTCATTAATAATCTATATGGTAAAATAAGATGTTCTACATGGAACCAACGAAGTGCTTAGTTTTTAGAGGTTCAAGCGCCTAGAGCCTATTTCTAACCAGTTTCCAACGCATTATGCTTTATCAATGTTAAAGACGCTCTTTGCATCTCTCCTTTAAACCACAACTTTTAATGATGATTTACAGGACTGTTTATACCTCAGTAGAAATAAAAAAATGGTCTAAAAACCGCCTTTTTTAGTATATTGTTGGGTTTTTTGCATACCTATTCCGTTGTGTGGTCAAAACGCAAAGAAGAGAGCAATCTAAAGTAGATTTCCACTTCGACAGAATTCAACAAGTTTTTCCTATCTTTGTGTTTTTGCCATTTTTAGATATTTGTCGGTGTTTTTATTCCCATTTATACAGACGAGGAAGCATTTTGAAACCTCTCTCTGACAGAAAAGAATCACATGAGGGCCGCATTCGATTATGCACGTGTCATCTTGTCCCTCCTTAATAAATAATGCTGATTAATCGTGGGATCGGAGTAGATATAGGGGAGAGAAAGAGAAGAGGGGATAGGATGGGACTGCTAAAAGGTGACATTAGTAATAAAGTGCATAATGTGGATGCAATGTACTGCGTCGAGTTGATGTATTTTCCTCTTTTCCAATCTTTGTACAGTAGAGTATGGAGTTATCGCCTACGCGTATGGCATGCCACGAGATGACTCTGATGCCAAAAGGACGAGTTTGTATACCAGTGGGTGGTCATGAGGCTTTTGTACAGATTGTGGTCAGTTGGAGGTATCATGGGAACTGGATGGCGGTGGCGGTGGTTGAGGAACAGGAGGGGGTTGGAAAAATGCCAAGTATTGTGCATGGGATCGGCACGCATTCACACGTTGTTGAAGCAACTCCGTTTCATCGGTTAGAGCCTCAAGAAATCCTTCATCATTGGGATTCATATGTTCTGCGACGTTCACTGGAACAAAAGATCGGTAAAGTTCAACAGCTTACAAAGACGTTTCTAGTTTAGGATTTGAAACTCAGTGCTTAGAGGTAAAACAGGCTCGTAGCAATCGTTTAACTGCCTAGTTTTAAGTTCATAATTGCAGGGCTGGAAATAGGTGGGCTTTTATGTAATGTCAGCCGATGCAGCTGAATGCCAGTAAAACAAATGGATCTAGATAAGCGACAAAGTAACCAATCATTGAATTGATCCAGGTAACTACGAAAGCGGCAAGTTTTATAGTTCTAAAAAATCTCACGAGCTGGAATAAATCAGTTCACATAAATATTATGTTTTATTCTTCTATTTAGTCGTGTTCAAATAGACAAGATGTTTCATCCCTTATATAATCTGCAACTGTTCAAAGCGGTCGAAACTGCACACTTTCAAAGTCAGGAGCATGAATGAATACGGCAACACATCCCTGTTTCAGTCCTCCGATTCCAAAAATTACCTATCAATCGACATACTGTTTTAAGAGTAGTATAATGGTAAGTCGAATTTATATGATTCAGGTTGGGAGTTCACAAAAACGAAATATGATTCCAACCATCAACAGCATAGACATTTTGTTATAAATACACAATAGGTTGTTTGATACATTCAGAATCCAGCTAAGTAGAATGCTGGGACAATACCAGTGATTAAAAGGAACGGATGGGTTTTTTTGTATGCGATTAGAAAACTTTGCAGGGAAGGATAAAATCTTCTCAATTTCAAACGACTTGATTTTAACATTTTTGTGCATAGTAATAAAAAGACCGCAATTTTAAGTCCCTTGCTTAGTGGCGCTTTCCAAATAAGCCTTTAAAATGGGGTTGTCTGAACGCTTATATCAAGTTTTGTAGAGCTTTAAGTAGTCTAGGAAGTATATGGATATGTGCAGACAGTCATGTACTAAAACAGAGTGATTGTTAACAACGGATTTCCAATTAAAAGTTGATTCACTTTAATTTCATAAATTGGGATTTGATTTAAAGCTATTTTGATCTATTTATCCTCATCTACAATACTGTGATTAGAGCTAGTCGAGTGACCCTGTAAGCATGAGGAATTAGAGGACTTACAGTCGAAGCTCCAAGATCCGGGATCTGCGAGGAGGCGAATTTTCGCATCAGTCAGTTCGGCCTTTAATTGTTCCTGACGCTGAAGTAAGGCAGCTATTCGTCTCTGACGGAAGGTAGTTCGCGATACCTGAATTCAAAACCATAAAGCTATACTTACAGGATTATGAAACTTTGACTTTTAAACTTCGGGGAATAAGAGTGTTAAATAGATTCTAAACTCTTAGACTATGTCATTAAGCTTCATTAAAGTGTAGTTCGATTGCAATGACCGTGTGCTTTTAATCACACCCATTGGCTATATGCTGGTCTCAAGGGGCGTAAAGCGGACGCCTGGTCCCGACAGGTCATGTCACTCGAATGCTCGATGATGCGCGGCAATGGGTGACCTAACTTGCGGAAAATCAGTGCCTTGTGAAACGAACAGAAGGCGAGGGGATCAACCAGTAAAAAAGCACAAAAACAACCTCCTATTCAAAAAAGCTTATTAGCTATTTTGTATCAGACAGAATTTTGAGATAATGTTTAATTTGCAAATTTTTCCAAATTCGGATACTACTTTCGGACATCAGTGCGACGAATAAGTGATTACCACTAGTCGAAGGCGTTAAAGGAGGAAGCGGAGTACTCAAACGGCAATTTCAAGCCCGTCTATACCATTAAAAGCTTTTCTTGTAAACACGTCTACCATTAAAAGTTAAGGTTCACAAATTTATATTTTTAATTTTACTGATTTCACAATTTATTGACTTATCTTGAAAAGTAACTTCTCAGTCTTGTTAGATGTTTTGTTAATGGGCACTTAAATCTAAGACCACCCCTGTCTTTAAAACGGTTTCGCTACCTTTATGGACACTTTCAAGTTTCCTTTGAAAACACCGGAAAATTTTCCCTAAACCACGTAGTGCAATTAAAATCTTTTCAAAGATTTTGAATGTGAAAATGACCATGACAAGGAAATCGGAAAGATGAATTTATGAGAAATACCACTATGCACGAAGGGGAACTTGACCTGACTTACAAAGTACTGAGGAATTTGCTTTGCATCCATTTCTCAGCAAAAGCGTAGATGGTTCAGCTCATAATTTTCCACTGTTTAAACGGATATTTGGGTTTTATTTACTAAGGGCTTATTTACATCAAGAATGCAAGTTCTGTTGATTTGTTGATTCAGAAGCGATTTCCTAATTTTTCGCTTGTAACTCGGTGCTCAAAGTATTTATCACACAATCAACCTCAAACGCCATGCCATGTCTTCGATGACACATTAACTTAACAAAGAAATAAAGATTAAATTTCCCTTTTACTATTATATTTAACCATGGGAATGCAGGTGAATGGACAACTTAATCAAAAATTCTGCTTATTTCTGTTTGTCTATGACTAGTGGTGTACCGACCACGAGTCTTAGGGGTTTTGGTAAAAATCGGCATTTCCAAAGGTTAACAAAAAGACTTAAGTGCACTTTAAATTCAGCAATAAGTCCAAACGAAAATAAACCTTAAAATAAGATTTCTCGTGCCTCTTTCTTTAGTGTGCGCATGTCTCTGCAGCCCAGAGAAGTGCATTGTAAATATTATCAAATGTAATGCAACACTGTGTTTGTTTAAACCTTGACTTTTATAACGGGATCCTTAAGGACCTGCCAATGTATTTTCGCTGGGTGACATGGCCTTTGGACCAAACTGGTAGCCACCCAGCCCTTCTGTATGTTGTCAGTACTTATTCTACCTTAGAATAATGTTGTCTTTTATCTTCAGAGAAGTCTCGGGGAGCCGCATTAGACGCAGTGGGAAGTAAACCCAATTCCATAGGCCAGCCATCCTGATTCCTCTTACTGAATGCTAAAAACCAACGTGACAGAGGAAGAGCATATGCTGTAGACGGGAGAATCTGCGTAGAACTCTAACAGAATGGATGAAAATTTGGCCTACCTTCGGCAATTACCCCACTCTCTTGTCCTAAAAAAAAGCCATTAACAACTGGTGTCCACATGGGTGGACATTTTGTCTGAATGGGCCGATAAGGGCAAAGGTGGAAGCACTGGCTTGCCTTATGGATACGTTTACCCTACTATCATATCTACAAAAGCCTGATTTGCGTTCAGACAAGTAATCCTAATAGCTTTGCTGGGGCGTTGTAGAAATAGAGCATAATATTTTTGTATCTAAAAAGGTTAGTATCCAAATAAGGGAGCATTTCTTCTGTTAATTAGGCTAGCCGATCAAAGTGAGTCACTGGGACTTGAATTGACGCACCTCAATCGCATCACTGTTAGCATGCGTTAGTTCCGACCGATTGAGGTTGAGATGAGGTGTTGAGGTGTCCAGCGCTTCGCATCCGGCAGTTGTTATTTGGGATCTCTGGGGGGAGACACGTCGCACACTCGGCAGACTGCTGCTTCTCGACTCCTCCGAGGAACCGGCTGGAGCTGAGAGACTTCGCTTCGACGTCGATGTTGAAAGTGTTCTCTCGCCAGAGGCTGGTAAAGACAGATTTTTTGATGAAGCTCCATTGTTATCATTTTCAGAGGTTAGTGAAAGCAACCGGTTACAATATGCTTTATTCGTGATTATTTTGAACTGAATATTTCATCTACACTTGATAATGCCCTAAATAGAGCAGTTCCTTTTTTGAACCACCTTATTCCATGTCATCATGGTTTATTTTTTCACCATTTTTATTCCTACATCCCAAGTATCTCTTCAGGCCAACATTCACATTATATTCAGATCAAATCAAGCAAAAATCCCATTTCTGCCACTTGTGCTTCACTTTTATAATGAGAGGAAAGAAGTCTTCCGTTTTGACCGGTAAGGCGAATTTAAAGATGCATTCTAAGTTCGTATTGTAGCATTTGCCTTAAATTATAGACCATATAAAATGACAAAATTGGTGAGAGCTTTATGCAACTCAAACTACCGTTAAAAATATAGTTTATAAAAACGTGCATCTTTACCGATGATGCGTTCTACCAGGCAATCTTTCGGTATGCGTACTGTTTTCATGTCCTTGTACCTAAAAACCAGTAGCCTAATGTAGTCACCCTACTCAGAGGAATCGGAAAAGAGCTTTGATGTCTTGGTGACCGATAAATCTGCCACGGTTTGACCTCAGTAAGGGATAGGCATTGGATAAGGAGATGCCTGATTTTAAATGGTGGTGTGAATAAATGAAAGAAAGAAAGGAAATATGTTAATGAAGATGAAGGAAGGCATAATACTAGGGTAAAGTACATATTATCGATGTAAAAGAGGGGTTTGGGGGGCGATGGCATGGCCTAGAAGTCAGGCCGACTGGCAAAGGTACCATGGCAGAGCCCCAAGTGGCCCGTTACCAAAACCGAGAGTTGAACAAGCAATTAAAGCATTCTAAATGCTTTACGAAAATGAGACAAGAACTATTATTAAAGGGGTTTACACCGTTTAGTAATTCAAAATAAGTCATACTAACTCTTCCTCCATAAATTAGGAAGCTTAAATTTAACTCAGGTGAGAAGACTCAAAAAAGTTGGGTTTGTGTCTACAGAAAATAAATTGAATAGAATGAGTTGAAGTGAGAGGACAAAAATAGATTTGGCAAATTTTATGCTGGCAACTTGTTAAATTGGCTGCAATCAAACAATTCACATCTTGTGGAAAGCCTCTAGACAACAATTCCAACTTGGAACTCTTTCCCAAGCCTGCTGAAACAATCTCCGCAGACCCACTTTACTAGTAAGACGTTTACATATACTTTGACTCCTGTGGTTCAGGCGTAAAATTTTTCCAAGCATCAATTCATAAATAAGATAACCCCACTTTTCAACTGGATAAAATGTATCTGATCCACTTCAAGGAAGTTGTAGGAACACAAATGGGATGATTCACCATGGCATTAATTTGAATTCTCTCCATTCCTGTTAAATGAGAGAGGCGTAGAAAGAGTTTAAGCTTCCTAAAGCGTAATTTTAACCTTGTCGGACTTTTTCGCATGCACCATGTAACGAGTAAAAGGAAATACATGGAAAAGCATGTTTAATCAGTGCCAGACAGTAAGTTTTCAGCCGTTTACTTCTGCTTCTTTTCCGATTCTTGCATCTCATATATTAATTTCGTGTACTTAATCGCACTGCTACAATTAAATCTCAGTGTAAATGGGAACTACATCACAATCTATTTAATACGTAGGAAGCTAGGGTTTATAACTTGATTTTTTGCCTCATAATAGGATCCCATAGTAACTTATTTACTGGTGGAAAATTAGATCCATAAGAGACGAGATGTGTGATATTGTAAAGTTTCCTGGTAACTTTTTAGTAATCCATGAATGCCTCTGCAATACACTCTGCTAATGCGCCCGAATTCGTTGTATTCATGCACATGTGGGTGTGTGTACCTACGTATCTTGACGATTTGACGTGATCCTTTTGTGATTTGGCAATTTATTCCCGTCCAGTCACCAAAGTGACTTCCTCCTTGGAAAAATGACACAACCTAACAGTTGTTTCTGGGCTACTTCCGCTAAATAAAAATGCTTTTTAGCAAAAGCGTCCATTTTCAGTCCAGACGTGGAAGATCCCAAATTCTAGAATTGTGCAATTCAGGTATGGTGATACCAGAAACCTGAACCGATGGAAAAGAGACTCCTATCTTCAGTACTGAAGCAATTGTAGAGGTTTAATAGAGGCATTTTAGCAGCCGTAGAAATAAAACTTCCTGTAAAAGCGTTTTTAGCTGCGTTTTCTTTGTTGGTACCCATATTCCTCATTGGTTGAGGAATAGAGGTAAATATAAACCGTAGCTTTCGGCTAAATACTCTGGGATCAAATGCTTGCTACCGCTTTGAGGTATCGGTAAGAGGCACAAAATAATGTAAAATGTTGGCTGATTGTTTAACTCTTGATTTTGGTAACGGGCTACTTAGGGCTCCACCATTGTACCTCCGCCAGGCGGCCTGGCCTCCGGATCATGCCAGTAGCCCCAAGCCCAACTCTACCTCCATAACACATTCTGCCCTAGTATTTTGTCTTCTTTCGTCTTCAAGGAAGACTCGGGATGCTACACTAGTGACAGCAAAAGCGTACTTGATCATAAAGGACAGCTGCCGCGATTTCTATTATTGAATTACAAACCTCAAGGCGACGAAAGAAGGGCATTTGCTGTGCGTGAGAGAATCTATGACAGCTCCTAACAGAAGGGTTGAAAATAAAGTCTACCTTCAGTAACTACTCAATTTCTTGTCCTGAAGGAAAGTTATTAACAACTGAAGCGCCACTAGCCATAAATCGTATGGAAAAGTTTATTTCGGAGCTGCCTACGGTACCTGCATGAAGATGTCAACTAAGTGAACACGCGATACCTCCTGCACCTCTACTAGCCGGATCGAATCCAGATTGATATAGCCGGGCAGCACTGAAGTGTAAACAGCGTGGAAAGGAGAAACAGAGGCGAAACTCCGTCTCCATGAAACTATTTTGAGCACCGTTTTTTACTAAATGATTTTGCTTTTAGGCTAGTGTACTTATGCCTAGCGCTGGACATTTGAGATGGCTAGAACATTTCCTCTTTCTCAAATACTGCTCTCAAATGGGACATTGCAATCGAAAATCTTCTCAGTTGCACGCATACTCGATGACTGGAGCAGTTGGTTAGTGGGTGTTTTTCTTACATCCAGACTACAACGTGATGGTCTACAGGGGAGTTCAATCACGAGTGGCACGGGAGACGATACACAAAAGAAGAGAGGGGCCGTGCAATACTTTGTCTGTTTTTTTTACTTGGGTCACGTGGGCACTAAAGGACACGACCATTGTACTTCCACCAAGGGGTCTGACCTTTTCACCAGGACAGTAGCACCAAAGCTCTTCTATGCGTCAACAATGCATATTATACCCAAGTATTATGTCTTCTTTCGCCTACAGAGAAGTCTCGGGGCGCTACGATGAAATCGAAATCATGTAAGGTATTAACGATGCTCTATGCCAAATTGCGCCTTTTGAGAAATTTGACAAGACAGTCTTTCCCAAGTTTGAGGTAAAACGGCCATGTAGATAATTTCTTGAACAAAAACATTAATTAAAGTTTAAGACATTATCGGAATTGACTTGGAGTGCAAAAACTTGCATCTTAGGAAAAGTTACTTTTTCAACTTTTAACTTCTTCAGAGCTCACAAAATCGTTTAATTTATCATGACGATATGGGAAATCCTTTCCAATTATTTTTCCACAAAGTACTAATAATACACCTTGTGCTAGTGACAAGCATAACCACTGACCGGGAGAAAACGTACTTGGAGGGCAGGAGGTTAGGCGTACACTGAAGGTTATACGAATTGTATGGGTGATGGATCGAGCAATGCACTTGTTTTCGACTAAGTGATTCCCACTGAGGCGTGCGCAAGAATAGCGGTACCTTGCTTGGTTTTGAATAATGGGTGGAGAAGGTCCCGCCAGACTTGCTAATAAGACAACAAATTGTTCTACATATGAATGGTGGACAGAAATTTAAGCTGTAAATTCTCTATCAACCCTTTTCATCTAATCTGAAAGGACGGTGGTGGAAACTAACTTTAACAGAATGTAAAACTCAGAAATACTTTCAATACTTTGGATTGACTTGTTGAGCCTTCGAGAAAGAGTGTGAAAACAAGAGATTTTTAGATAAACCATACGAAGTAAAAACCAATTATTAGCATATTTAAGAGGTTCGATCATGGAGAGCACGTAGCAGTTGATGAGGTACTAGGAGGAAAAAAGTAATCACAAATGACCGTTTTTAATCATACGATAAATTTGCACCTTCATTTTTAGCAAAAATGCCTGTTTGAAATCATTAAAATTCCACGGTGATCTGTCAAAAATGGGCAAACGCATGAACACAGGCCATTTTCTGTCAAGAGAGGCGTCGAGGGTGTGTAAGTTTTCCAGAAAAAAATGCTTTCCAAATTCACACTTTCAAAACCGTATTCACTTTTAGATTACTTTACAAAATAGCCTTCGTCTTATTAACAGGTTTAACATTCAATCGCCAGCATCATACCTGACTGGTGTCCATTTGGAATCTAGGTATTTAGCTCATTTGCACAAATGCAAATGATACAGTGCCAAATCATTTTTAACTTTCATTTAGTAAGCTTTTCGGCGCCTTACAACAGATTTTCCTATCGCTACCAATTTTCTCTCGGTGGCAAGCATGAAACTCAACGTTCGATGAGGACAATGGAACAGGGCTCCATAACATCATTTTATTTGAAGCTTAGGGGAATCATTTTTAAAACCCATTGCCTCGATTAGTATGGGAACTCTTTGTTGGCGTTTAACCAAAACAGCTTTACCATTTTTTATCATGAAGAGTCAGTGATTGGTGAGTGAGTCTCAAGAAAAAACTAGACCTAATTTATTGGAACGAAGGCGTTGAAAAGTCATGTCACGTCCAATGCTTTAGCCATCACTGGCAGCTATTTAGAAATTACATCCTCCCTAGACGACACCAGATGCTCCTTGATGAAATAAAAGGGCACCCAATGTGTACTGAGACCTTTTTCTCGAGAAAGTAGATTATAATACCATAATACTAGAAACTTTACATTTGTCGGACAGATTCAAGACGTCAGAAGGTATGTATAATCACAAAAACGGCGAGGCTCGATAGTGAACTACTGACATTCTTTATGGCTACGCTACACAATATTCCGTCTTCTAAGTGCGGTATCTGCAAAATTATGGATAATATCAAGAAATTCTTGGTGCCTACTTTTGAAGATAGCATTGTAATGCTTTATATAAAAGGTTAATTTAGTTTTAAAACGAAGGCATCTATTTTAATAAATGCTTAATCAAATCAAAACTACTTTTGTCTTAGGTATTCGCGAAGCCTTAATTTTTTGTTTTACTCAGTTTTGGTAACGGACCAATTACGCACTCCGATATTGTACCTCAGCCGAGTGGTCTGGACTTACAGGCCACGCCAGTCGCCCCATGCCCCACTGTTTGCCGACAATACGTATTCTGCTCCAGTGTTATGTCTTTGAGGCATTACATCGGTGGCAGCAAAAGTCAGCCCAATCTTAAAGAACAGCTATTTTGATTTATACTGATAGGCGATAAACCCTAGAGTGACGGAAGAAGTGCATATACTGCTAATGGAAGAATCTCTGATGACTCCCAGGCAAGGGCTGGAAAGGTCGTCTGCCTTCAGAAGCTACCTCAGTTCCATGTTCTGCAGTAAAGCTATCAACAAATGAAGTGACACCAGCCTTTAATTTTCTGCAAAAGTTCATCGCGGAGCTGACTACGGTATCTATTTGAGGACATCAATCATGTGGGCACGCAATACCTCCTCAATTTCTCTACTAGCTGGATGAAAGCCAGAGAAACATGGCTGGGAAGGACTGAAGTGAGAGCTAAGGAGCCAGGTTAAACTCCGTCCTTTGTTATATGACACTGCTTTCAGGCCAGTGTTCTTACAACTATTAAAAGAAATGTGTAATGGCCAGCACACTTCCTGTCCCCCATTACAGTTTCATACACGACGAAGATCTAAATCCAGTGGAATTGCCAAGAGGGATCAGTGGCAATGAGTTCAAATATTCGCCAAGATGCATGAAAATTCGAAGAATGGCGCAGTTAGATCGTGGGTGTTCCCCTCACAGCAACGACTACATTGTAATAGCTGCCACGGGAGGCTGACTAAGGGGAGCGCCGGGACGATGCTCAAAAGAAAGGGACTGTGTAATAACTTGATTGTTTAATTAACTCGCGGTTTTGGTAACGGGCCAATTAAGGGCTCTAATGTTGTACCTCCGCCGGGTGATCTGATGTTTCGGCCATGACACAAGCCCTATACCCTACTCAAGGTCGAAAACACGTATTCAGCTTAAGTATTATGCCTTCTTCTGTCTTCAGGAAAGTCTCAAGACACCACATATCTATCCCATGCTGCAAGTTATAGTATCCTATATTGAAAAAACATTTTGCAAAGCTTTCTAACAGCACCGATTTGAAATACCTTACACACTAACCATAGGGAAACAGACAATGATCACAATTTTACAGCTAAAGATAAAAAATTTTTATCTCAAAGGATGAGGCATATTTCTAACATAAAATTGCAGTACAATTCAATTACGTCGTTAACTGAGAATTCACCATAGATTCCAAGGATTAATAGGTAAAAATAAGAAAAATCAGGAGAAAAAATAGAAGGAACAAGGATTAGTCCTTGAATTGATTTTGCCATTTAACTTTACCAAATTACTTTCCAGCTTTGTGTTGTGTGCCAAAACGCAATTAAATGGGTTCGAAGTGAAAACAATTTCTTGCACGAGGTTGTAAAATTGGTTTGTCATGAAAGGAAGAAACTGCACGTAATGTTCCCCTTCTTTGCTAAGGTCTGTTTCGAACGAAATTGAATAAAATACACACTTTCTACATAAGTACATGCATAATGCAAGTGCAGATATCCTTTAGGTTTACAAAAACCCACTTTTTTCCCAAACTTTTACGGTTATTTCTCAACAGAATTCATAAGCAAGCCGACAGAGATGAAGCTTTGCTTCAACACCGTCCGAATCCTTACTAGACACTTGGTCCTGGGATATTCTAGGGGTTAAAGGAGATGAGCTGCGCATTCTGTGATGTTTTCTTTATTAGGCTATGGGGTGGGAGGAGGAGTGGAACTGCCTTATTTTTCCCACCGGCTAGTCAGTTTATTGCCCATCACTCCCCTTTACCTTTGATGGCTTTACGACGGCGTTTACAGGACTTAGACATCTTCACAACTTTTACACCAAGGAAAGGGCTTGGTGTTTGTCAAATCACTTTTATTACTGGACTTCTACTTTTAAAAGTTAAGCGAGTCCCTTTATACATGTATCAAGTATCACCTTCTCTGTCATTTGTAGAAATATTTCCCATGAAGAATGTGAAGGCCACCTCAATAGCAATATCCAAAACATCGAAAATCTTGTTTTATTACACGTCTGTAACCAAAGAGCATAATTTGCGGAAAAATCGGGATTTTGGCGAATAAATTGCCGACACAAGTTCCAAATGTGAGTGGCTTAATGCCCTGAGCGGAGGCCTCGCCACTAATTTAATTGACAAAAGATTTGCCTCGCAGTATTTTTTGTCCTGGCCGTTTATAAATTGGCGGATGTGGCGAGTAATTGCAGGCAAGCTCCCGCTTCTTGCCAACAGGAGAAAGTCGCAAGCATTACAAAGTCTACTAAATATGGTGACTTTTATGTCGAGTTTGATCTGCACTTAAGGGCAGCTACGTCTTTGGTTGATAATAAATTTAAATGCTACACGAGCATTATAAACCATAAGT